CTCCTCCTCCTCCTCCTCCTCCTCCTCCTCCTCCTCCCGAGAGAGGCCGGCGGCGCGCGGCGCGCCTGAGGAAGCAGGTGTTCGTTGTCGTGATGCGGTGGCACGTGACGCGCCGGCCCCCTCAGAGGAGGCGCCACCACTGGGCTGCCACGACCCAGCCGGACTCGGCGGAGCCCCCCTTCTGGGACGAAACCAGGACGAGGATACAGTCGGGTGAGGATGAAATCGAGAATCTCTGAGATCCAGCGGCTCTGGAGGACGCATCCCGCGCCGCGGCCTTCGCGGAGCGTTCCGGACCGCTCCGAGAGCGTTCTGGGACGCTCCCGTTGTCTCCCACCTCTCTCCCTTTCCGCTGGGGAAGCCACAAGGTAACGGTACCACCACTCCCCGGACCTCTCTCAAGGGGTGCGCCCTGGGGAGGACTTCGGGGCGAATCCAGCGGTGGCGACGAGGGCCGTCCAGGAGGCCCCACAAAAAGGGAAAACGAGGCAAGGGTAGCAGTGTAGGTACCTGTTCCTCCTCTGATCCACTTTCCCCATTCCTCCCTCACCCCCCACTAACAATTACTCAAGATGGATGCGCATCGGTCGGAAGAAGTATGTAGAATCATGAAGTAGGAAGGCGTTGAAGTAGATTGGGTTTCTGCCCGCCTCCTGAAGAGGAGGAAAGAGGGAAAACCATTATACTCTTGAAGTAGGAAAGCGGCTAAAATCGGAGGTTGGAGGGGTTGGAACGGAAGTGACCCCAACCAGGAAATCGGTTCGGGACTCGATTCGTGTCATGCGTGCGGGCAAGGCGAAACTGCGCGAGTTCCATCCTTAGAGGAGACAATATATTGCCAAAAACGCCGCCCCCCGAGCGCCTGGCGTGGCCCCCCGTTGTCCCGGCGGTTGTCCCGGCGGTTGTCCCAGTGGTTGTGGTTGTCCCGATGGTTGTCCCGATGCTTTTCCCGATGGCTGCCCCGATGGTTGTCCCGATGGTTGTCCCGATGGTTGTCCCGATGGTTGTCCCGATGGATGTCTCGATGGTTGTCCCCAAGATTGTCCCGATGGTTGTCCCGATGGTTGTCTGGCTGGATGGTTGTCCCAGTGGTTGTCCCGATGGTTGTCCCGATGATTGCCCCGATGGTTGATAGATAGATAGATAAATAGATAGATAGATAGATACATACAGATACGGATATATGCTGTTATATGTTGTCCCGATGGTTGTCCCGATGGGTGTTCCGATGATTGTTCCGAGGGTTATCCCGATGGTGGTAGATAGATCGGAAATGAGGGGGTGAGATCGAAGTGGAACGGAAAGCCCCCCACCGGGAAATCGGTTACGTTTTCGTGTTCGTGCCGTGCGTGCGGGCGAGGCGAAGCTGCGTGGGCGGGCGAGAGGAAAGTCTCATGTGACTGCGCGGTGTCCCGCCGGTATCCCGCTGGTGTTCCGCTGGTGTCCCGCCGGTGTCCCGTCGTAGCTGGGCCGCGGCCGGACCGAAAGGTTCTCCGCCCGGCAACCGGTGCCGCGCGGGGTCCCGCCGGTGTCCCGCTGGTGTCCCGCTGGTGTCCCGCCGGTGTCCCGTCGTTGCCCCGTGGTGTCCCGTGGTGAGATCGACAGTGAGATCGATAATGAGATCGATAGTGAGATCGATAATGAGACCGATAGTGAGATCGAGAGCGAGATCTATAGCGAGATATCGATAGTGAGATCTATAGTGTGAGATCGATCGAGTGGGATCGATAGCGAGATCGATAGTGTAATCGATAGTGATATGAATAGTGAGATCGAAAGCGAGACCGAGTGATGTCGATAGGGAGATCGATAGTGGGATCGATAGCGAGATCCAGAATGAGATCGACACTGAAATCGATCGAGTGAGATCGATAGTGAGATCGATAGTGAGATCGATCGAGTGAGATCGATAGTGAGATCGATTGTGGGATCGATGGTGAGAGCAATGGTGGGATCGATAGTGAGATGGACCAAGATCGATAGTGAGGTCGATAGTGAGATCGATAGTGGTATCGATAGTGAGATCGGTCGATAGTGGGATCGATATTGAGATCGATAGTGAGATCGACAGTGACATCGATCGAGTGAGATCGATAGTAAGATCGATCGAGTGAGATCGATAGTACGGTCGATAGCGAGATCGATCGTGGGATCGATAGAGAGATCGATAGTGAGATGGACCATGAGATCGTTAGTGAGACCGATAGTAAGATCGATAGTGGTATCGATAGTGAGATCGATCGATAGTGGGATCGATATTGAGATGAATATATTGTGAGATCGATTGTGAGATCAATCGAGTGAGATCGATAGTGAGGTCGATAGTGGGATCGAAAGTGAGATCGATCGAGTGAGATCGAGAGTGAAATCGATCGAGTGAGATCGATTGTGAAATCGATTGTGGGATCGATAGTGAGATCGATTGAGTGAGACGTTGGTTTCTCCTCCCCCCCTCACCTCCTTTATCACCCGAAGGGTGGTCGTATAGGTATATAGATAGATAGATAGATAGATAGATAAATATACAGATCTATATAAATCTACTATACGACCACACTTCGGGTGCTAAGGAGGGTGTGGAGGGGGGGAGGGGGGGGGAACCAACATCTGACTCAATCGATCTCACTATCGATCTCACTCAACGGGACACCACGGGACACTTGTCGATCTCACTATCGATCTCATTCAACGGGACACCACGGGACACCTCTCGATCTCACGATCGGTCTCACTATCGATCTCACTCAACGGGACACCATAGGACACCACGGGACACCCCGGGCACATCTCTCGATCTCACTATCGGTCTCACTATCGATCTCACTATCGATCTCACTCAACGGGACACCATAGGACACCACGAGACACAACGGGACACCACGGGCCCCCTCGGGACACCCCAGCGATCTCACGATCGATCTCACTATCGATCTCACTCAACGGGACACCACGGGACACAACGGGACACCTGTCGTTCTCACCATCGATCTCACTTTTTGGGACACCACGGGACACCTCGAGGCACCACATCGATCTGAGTATCGATCTCACTATCTAAATCACTATCGATCTCACTCAACAAGACACCACGAGACACCACGGAACACCTGTCGATCTCACTATCGATCTCACTATCGATCTCACTTTTCGGGACACCACGGGACACCTCGGGGCACCACATCGATCTCAGTATCGATCTCAATATCGATCTCACTATCGATCTCACTTTTTGGGACACCACGGGAAACCGCGGGACACCGCGAGCCAACGCCGGACGGACGGCGGACGGGCGGGCGGGGGAGAATCATGTGTCTTGACTTCGCACTAACAGCGGCGGACATCACGGGACACCACGGGACACCACGGGACACCACAGGACACCGCGGGACACCGCGAGCCACCGCCGGACGGGCGGGCAGGAGGGGGAGAATCAGTTGTCTTGACTTCACCGTAGTAACGGCTGGTTCATTCCTCTCGCGTGCCCACGCAGCTTCGCCTCGCCCGCACGCACGACACGAACGAAACGAAACGATTGCCAGGTTGGGGGTCTCCGTTCCGCTGCGATCTCACCCCCAACCTCCGATAGAGAGATAGACAGAGATCTACATATAGAATACGTTCCCCAATTAGTGCTTGCACTGGAGGGGTCCTAGCGGAGATCGAAAGATTTGGCGAAACATTCCCGCCGATTTTGGTGGTGAGCTAGATTCCCGAATTCCGGGTTCCAGGTTCCCGGATTCCTGGTTCCGGGTTCCGGGCCGATTTCGGTGGCTGGCGTGGTTCCCGGGTTCCCGGGTTCCTGGTCGATTTTCTTATCGATCGGTCCCACCATCGATCTCATTACCCACCTCTATCGATCTCACCATCGATCTCATTATCGATCGCACTACCGATCTCATCGACGATATCACTGTAGATCGCACGAGCGATCTCGCGATCGAGATCATTGAATCGACTTCATTCTCGGTCTCACGATCGACCTTACAGTCGTCCTCTCTATCGATTCCACAATCGATCTCACTATCGATCTCACAATCGATCTCAAGATCCAGATTACAAATGTTCATACCATCCACTGATTGGGGTTTCTCTCTGGTGTAATGAATATTCATATCCATTGGTTGATTGATTGATCGACTGATGAATATATATAAATACATATATATGTATATATATATATATATCTCGTTTTGGTCGCGCATTCGCCACTGGTTAAGATCTCGCAGCTGTGCCAGACAGCTGTGTTGAGGTTTTAACGCAGCGGGGCCCCCCGCTACTCGCACCACCCTCGCGCTCCCAGGACACGTGAGAGTTCGAGCCAGACCGATACCACGAGGATCTCGGCGCCCGAACCACGGACCCACGGAGCGGCCCAGGGGTCCCAAGGCCGAGGGCACGGTACAAGCGGGGGGCCCGCCACCGAAGGAAAAAACTCTCCAGGGTGGCCGCCGCGGCCTCTCTCCTACTTGCTCGGGTGGTGTGGGATGGCAGAGCAAGAAAGCTGCGAGATAAGATCGGCGATTTCTGCGGGACCCCCGAGATACCCCAATGACCTGTAGTCATAAGTCTGATCTCGTTTTGGTCGCGCATTCGCCACTGGTTAAGATCTCGCAGCTGTGCCAGACAGCTGTGTTGAGGTTTTAACGCAGCGGGGCCCCCCGCTACTCGCACCACCCTCGCGCTCCCAGGACACGTGAGAGTTCGAGCCAGATCGATACCTCGAGGGTCTCGGCGCCCGAACCACGGACCCACGGAGCGGCCCAGGGGTCCCAAGGCCGAGGGCACGGTACAAGCGGGGGGCCCGCCACCGAAGGAAAAAACTCTCCAGGGTGGCCGCCGCGGCCTCTCCATACACACCTTTTACTGGCTATAGCCGAAATTCAGTAGCATTAGGCCAAGCTGACCCAATATATCTTTCGAGAGCTGGTTCATTGAGACATCCACGAGGTCGGCGACAGCCTCCTCGATATACACACGTGCAGAAGTCACGGCACTCCACCTCCCACGCTGCATTGTGCGCTCGAGATTGGCGCCCAAAAGAAAGTCATGGCAGGCGCCTCCTCGCCTGAAGCTGTACCAGGACCAGCGCGCAGGCGGGATCGAGGCGACAGCGAGGAGCGACTTCAGGGGCCGCTGGAGCTGCACGCACGTGCACGGGCACAGATGGTCCGTGGGCTGGGCGCGCTCCGCAGCCACCCGCAGCAAGTTCACTGCGACGGGCGTTCGCACCACAACGAACTGCACTTTGCCAGTCCTGACGCCCATCTTCGTTTCCGACAGGCGCAGTATGACGCCGCCCTCGGCGAACGTGATATCATCATATGTAAGATCACGCAGCTCTTTGGTCCGAAGCATCGCATCAAACGTGACGAGGACCAGGGCAGCCAACAGAGGCTGGCCGACCGAGACTGCAGCACCTGCAAGCCCGAGCGCCATCTCGGGGCTGGCCGGATAGGCGCGATTGATGGGCGCCAGCTTCTGCCACGTCTTGACCAGGGACCACGCAAAGGGCAGGGCCGTGCGGAGCTCGGGGGCGAAGAAGAGGTAACCGGCGAGTGCATAGCGCCCATGGCTGAGCGTGCCCTCGTTCGCCCACTGGTCCTCGACGTAGGCGCCCAGCGCGCTGTCTGCCTCGGCCGAGCTGTTCAGCGGGAAGCCACCCTCGATGGCGAAGGCGAGGAACTCCGCGACGGCGATACGGTACCTCTTGAGCGTGACCGCCCTGACCCTGAGATCAGAGAGCCTCTGGGAGTCTCGCAACCGCTGGAGCCTCTGAGCTTGCGGCGAGAGCCTCTTAGCTGCCACGCCTTTCGGGATGGCGCGTCGGCGGGGTTGTCCTCCGACGCGATGTAGCCAAGCATGACGTAGCAGCCTGTCGCCCAGCACAAGGCCCCCCAGCGCTTGACGTGCATCCGCAGGACCCTGCTGCTGCTGCGGCCCTTGGTCAGCACCGAAGCGGCGACTTGGCTGTCGATCAGGTGTAGCATGCGCCTGGGGCGGCCCGTGCCCGACCGCAGCCTCCACTTGATGGTGTTCACGGCCGCCTGGATCTCGAGGGCGTTGATGTGCTTCCCGATCCCAGCACGCCAACGGTAACTTGAGATCACCTTCCACGTCCAAACGTTGGGCTCGAGCGACACGCGCGGCCACGCGCGGTGCCGGAACGGGAGGTGCACGTCCAAGCGCACGTCCGTGCCCCCTCTCTCTGCGATAGACAGGTAGTGCCGCACGAGCTGCTCCGCCTCGGGCTCGTACTGGTAGTCGTCGCCCTGGTGGTAGACCGCGCTGTCGTTCCACGGGGCCCTGCACTTGCCCGTGTGGCACAGAGCATGGGGCTCCCACAGCTGTGGCTGGAACTCGTCGGCGACCAGGGAGTGCTGCAGCAGCCATGAGACCGCATAGACTGAGAAGCTATTCCCAAGCAGGAAGCAGCGCGTGGTCTCGAGGCTCGAGCCAGACCCGTCTTTTACGGCACACTCGGTGTATCCTCGATCGAACCCCAAGAGGACCTCTCTCTCTTCTGCCGACGGGGGGCGGAGCTCCATGGTGGCCTCATGCTGGAGTAGGCAGGCGTTCTCGTAAAGGCCGACGTGGTAACGATGATCGTCCTTTTTCCAACGAGCCTTCGCTTCGGGGCTGGCCCGAGCAATTCCAGCAGGTCGAGTAGGCTGTAACAAAGAGGGCCTAGCACAGACTAGCGTCGGCACAGGCAGCGAGCCACCATTCCAGATCCAGCCAGGGGAGGTCCAGGGCAGCTCCACGCGCGCCGCGCCGTCGGAGATGACATCGACGAAGTGCCCCCTGTCCTGGTAGCTATAGCCCTTGCACGGCAGCAACCGCCACGAGAGCCAGTACAACCGCGGCCTTCTGTTGGGGACCAGGCAACTGCTGCAGAACCGATATGGTGTGACCTGGAGCTCGCTAGAGATGCGCTCGATGTCCTCGAGTGGCATGGAGGCGACGTTCTCGATGAGGGAGCGGACCTTCCCAGGGAACGCGGCGTTCAGCAGCCCCAGGATTCGCGGTATCTCGCGAAAGAGTGCGCTCTTCTGGCCCTCGAGCCCCCTCCTGCCGAACATCAGCCTCGACAGGTCTTGGCATGGACTGCCGGCGCCACAGTAGACCACGTCGACAATCCCGCCGAAGAGCTGGACCAGCTTGTCAATGTGTTGAGTCCCAACGTCTTTGATGTTCCCCCAGTCGATGAGGCCGGGCCACCTCTTCCTGACGACCCTGCGCGCGCTGGGGTCAACCTCCGACGAGACGTAGCCAATGATTTTCGTGCGGAGCCTTGAGAGCGAGACGATCATGCCCCCGATGCCGTCGAACAGCCCTATGACCAGGACAGCAGGTATCCTATCCCCAGCAGGGGGCGGCAAACCAGGGTTCCTCGACTCCCACGCTCGCCAAAGCGACGCCTCCCCCAGCAGCAGACGGCCCGCCATGAGGTGTTGCCTGCCCTCCTGGCCTGCAGCGGCAGCAGCCGTCAGCTTCGAGAGGGCCTCGGGGCACAGCCTCAGCGACGTGCAGGCGCCTCCACCATCCTCCGAGGCGTCAGAGCAGGTAACCCTCGCATCGACCTCCGCGCGAAGGTCCGTGAAAGCAAGCGGGAGGAGGCCCACGCCGCTGAGGATCTCCTCGGTCATCTCCGAGTTGACCCAGCCAGAGTGAGTGCCATCCGCGAACTTCCAGACCTCGTTGAGGATGCAAAAGAGGACGCGCCTGAACTCCAAAGCCCTGACGAGCTTGCCCAGGAGCACGAGCATGGTCTTCCAGTAGACCCAGTCCTTGGTCACCAGCAGGGCCCCCAAGAGCATGGTCTCGAAGAGCTTCATGAGAGGTACCGAGACGCGCCCGCGCAGACCATCCACGAGCACGCCCATCCTCTCGACCTTCGTCTCCCCGAGGTGGGCCTTGTGTTCGGCCCAGGCCACGCCGTTGCGCTGGTAGGAAGCCCTCTGTTGCTCCTGGTAAGCAGAGCCGACGCCGACCTCCCCCTCGGTGTCGTTCACGATCCTGGGGGCATCGAAGTCGTCGATGAAGAACTGGTACCAAGACCTGCAACCGCCCACCTGAGCAATGGGAAGAGGCTTGTCCCTCCTCCACTCATCGACTTCAGGCAGGCCCGCTCCAGCGGGGGGAGGGCGCAGGCCCAGGCGTCTATGAAGGTGTTGGAATAACGTGACGGCCAGCAGCCAGCCCATCGGTATAACGGCTGAACACACATGCACCGTCTTCAGATCTGGGCGGCCCACAAGGCGGCCGGGGACGCGGCCCTTCAATGTCGTGAAGCTGCGCCAGGCCCGCGGGATCTTCCAGACAAAGAAGGCGCCCTGCTGGTCGTCACCCGACCAGAGCAAGACGCGCTGGCCCTCCAACACCACCGTAACCCAAGAGGTCGAGGCCGTCAGCGTCGACAGGTCCTGGGTCATGATCTTCAGGTAACTATTCGCTGGCACCATGTTCATGATGAAGCGGCACTGCCTCTGCTCACCAGCCTCGGGCACGCCCCTTTTCTCAACTGCGAAGGCGCCGTTGAGCACGGGGGCGCCGTCAGCCCGAAAGATCTGCTCGTCCTCTATGGCCTCTACGATCCCGAGCGAGTACAAGTGGCCAACGATCCTCGCCCACTCCGCAGGCGAGTCGACCAGCAGCCTCGCCTTCGGAACCTCAGAAGGCCACTGGGCACGTGGCAGGAGGGCCACCGACGGGTCGTCCAACCAGGTGAGCACCTCAGGGCTGACGTGAGCACGAGGGTCCAGCCGGCCAGCGACATCAGCTGCTGGTAGGCCAGGTCGTAGTTCTCCCAGCCTAAGGGGCAGCGCACGCGTGCCACTGTCGATGTCGTAAGCGCTGGGCGCCCGCGTCGAGATCTCACTAAGGAGGGGCAGCTGACACCTGCCAAGGTCGCCCCCGAGGAAATACGAGACAGCCTCCCTCATAACCTCGACGGCGTTGGCCTGAGCGGCGGAGTAGTGCGAGTGGTGGCCCCACGCCTCCTCCCCGCACGTGCCCGCATACTGGTAGTTCGTAAGCATAACCTGGATGAAGACCCACAGTTCGGCAGCGACAGCGCAAGCAGAAGGCCCATCAAAATCGGGTCCAGGTTCACCCGAAGTCCCCGCCGCTGACCCCCTCGACGTACCCTTCCAGGCCCTGGCACTGTCCAATGATGGAGCAGCAAGAGGCAGCACATCACGAAACCTCTGCCCCTGCTGCTGCGGTGAATGCGCGCGGTGAAGAAAACCCCGACAGAACCTGCCCAGCCTGCCAGGGTGTGTGAACATAGCATCTATCAGCCAGAGCGCGAAGGTGAGCGGGGTCATGCCATCCTCGAGGGCCGCAGCAAGCCTGGACTTCCAGGCCCTCAGGTCGGACATGCTAGTGAGCGTCCAAGGCCAGCTCGCTCCGCCGCTGGCACACGACGAATTAGCCTCGGTGGCATATGTCACCGCCGAGGTGCCGCCCATGGAGCGGCAGTCTTCTGCTTGGCGGCCTGGTTCTGCGAGCCCTCGCCCTCCAGGATGACCTTGCGAGCACCGCCCTGCACTGGCGGCGCCTGCCTCTTGGGGCCGTCGCCCCGCATGAGCAGCGCCAGGCGCTGCCGGTACTTGCCCTGCGTCTCGCCGTCCTTCTTGGGGTTCTGCAGCTTCAATTCCTTGAAAGTCCTGGAGGGCCTGTCCGTCGTCGGGGGGCGTGGAGGCTGGCGACTCGCGCCCGCCACCTCTGCAGTGCGAGCCGCCTCCTGAAAACCCCGACCTCCAGCTGGCCCACCAGTCGTCCCGTCGCTGGGGTGGCCTGCAGGGGTCGCTCCCATGCTGGGTGGAGCGGACCCCCGGCCGAGTCCCTAGCCGACAGGCTTGAGCTTCCCCGCGAGCTCGGCGAGCTTCAATTCGCCGTACTCGATCTTCCTCAGAAGCTCCTCCTCCTCGATATTGATGGCAGCCATGTCGGCATCGGGAGGGATGAGCTCCAGCCAGCGTGCGCTCCTCCAATGCTTATCCTTGCAGGCGAGCTGGCAGGCCTTGAACCTCTGCATGAGCATGTCCATGGCCTCTGGGAGCCTCCCTTGGATCAAGAGGTCCAGGGACTCGGACAGAGTGCGCATCTGCCTGAACATGTCCTCGCCGATTGCTGAGACAGGGTGCGAGGCCAAGAAGATGTTCAGCAGGAACTTGTTAACTATCGGAGGGAGTTCTTCCTCGGCGTCATGCATGCCCTTTGTGCTGAGAAACTGATTGAGGTGCGACAAATGGGCCGTCAGCAGCTCCCCAGGAGTGTCGCGAGCAGTCCTCCTGAAGAACGCTCGTGAGGCAGCCAACGACTTCCCAGGCGTGAACTCCAAGCCGTCAGTGATGCCGAAGCCCTCGATACCCTCGGCAGGGGTGAGCGCGCCCAGCAGCGAGCGAAGGAGGTGAGCGGTAGACCCGCCGCCCTCACGCTCAGGCCCAGCGCCCGCCAGGCCTCCGCTGCCAGCTGCGCTCCCGTCCGCGGGCCCACGCCTGGGAGCCTTCGCCGCCCTCTCAGCCAGGATCTCATCCAGGGACTTCCTCTTGAGCGGGGCCCCCTCGGTAGCGGTACCTCGAGGCTCGGCGGCAGCGTCGCCCTCGGCGCCCAGACGACCCCTCAAGTCGCCCAACCTCTTGCGGAGGAGCGCCTGCATCACCTCGTCAGGGCGGCGCCCTGCAGGCTCCTTCGCAGCGGCGGCGGCGGCGGCCTCGAGCGGGGTCTCCCCGCCGGCGGTGCCGCGGGGGCGTACGCTCCCGCCAGGCAGCCCAGCGGGCTCCGACGCGGCCGCGGCAGGTGGCCGAGCCCGAGCGGGCGGCCGACCGCGCGCCTTGAGGGCGGCACGCCCAGGAGGGCCTGCGGCGGCGCCAGGCCCCTCCGCCTCACGAACGGCCTCGAGCTCACCCGCGGAGTCGACGACCTTGGCGGCGAGCCCGAACTCGTCCAGCTCGGCGGGCACCAGCTCCTCGTCCACGGGATCCCCCAGTTCCTCCTCCTGCGGCTCGGGCCCCAGCTCGGCAGGCCAGCGCGCAGCAGGATTGCGTCGCCGGAACTGGAGGTACGCGTCCTCTACTGACTCAAGGACCACGAACTCGTCGACGTGCGTTACCTCCACGCCAGGGCCCGCCTCCGCAGCGCATAGGATGGCCGTCTCATCCTCTGGACAAAAATGAAGAACACGCTTTAACTTCCTGGCTCCAGGGGATCCCGCATTCTCTTCGTACCATTGCAAATACTGATCAGTGCAGAACAGGAACTCAGCGCGTGCGAACTGGCCGTGTTCGCTCGCCTCGTACAGGCCGGAGATCCGAAACACGGCCTCGCCCTGTGCGGCGTCGGCGTCGTCGTAGCATGTGACCTGGATGAAGTCTCCTGCCCGCACGGCGCGGCCCTCGCCCACAGCCGCCGCCGTAGCGCCCTCGCCGTCCGCCATGCGGCCTGCAGAGGCGAGCTGCTCTCAGCTCGCTCGCGCGCCGACGTGCACCCTCGGTGCACTGAAAGTCCTCAGAGCAAGAAAGCTGCGAGATAAGATCGGCGATTTCTGCGGGACCCCCGAGATACCCCAATGACCTGTAGTCATAAGTCTGATGTATAGGTAGATATATAGAGATAGATGGTGCCCCCAATAGATCAACATATATATATATATATATATATATATATGGGTGGATAGATAGATGGGCAGATGCGCGCGACAATCATCAAGTTGAAGAAACCACCAAAGAACCCAGAGCCATCGCAAATCGACCGCCGTAGGGTCACCCGTAGGGTGATCCTATCGGTATGTTGGGAACTGAGAATCCAAACAAACATAGTTTCAATGATCGATGGGTACTCCACATGGCTACTGCTATCCTCCCTGCCCGGGCCATGTTCAGAGGTGCGATGCTCCCCCCTTCTCTCGCGTACCGATTCTCACACACAGGATGTCAATGCCTGATGTTCAGTGCTGTGCCTTTTCAATCAGAGCGTCTTCGGCCCTGCAGAAGTGGTGCTCTCACCAGAGCGCTGGCTACTTTTCAGGATCGTTGGCTTGCTCCAGTCGTTCAGAATGGCGCAGCGCGTGCCACACTTGCGGATCCGATTGTTCCATCGCCGTTGCCGTCTCCCTCCCTCCCCCTCCTCCACCTTCGCCGGGTCCTCCTGCTCCTCCTCTTCTTCCTCCTCCTCCTCCAAATCCTCCTCCTTCTCCTCCGAATCGCTCAGCCGCCTCCGACTCCGCCTCCTCCTCCTCCTCCTCCTCCTCCTCCTCCTGCACAAAGTCACCCTGTCGCATGGCGCACCCAACGATTGGTCAAATCCCGCAAGCGCCTTTCGAGGATCAAAGCCCTCTGGGACACCCCATGCCGCTGAAACCAGGAAAATAGCTCCACGCAGTGGGAAGGGATAGGCGAAGGGGGTAGGTCTCAATTGATGCTAAAAACACTATTTGTGTTCGGCCCACCATGAAAGGAAAAACGGCAGCCCAAAGCATAGCATTACGGAAATACAAAACGGACCAGTACCGAACAGGAAATTCACCGACCCTGTCGGCGTGTGGAAGGGGCTGTTCGGTTCTTCTTTATTCCCGCTGGGCTGAGCCTGTCAGAAACGACGCTTCTCCCAGGAAGCCCGCAAATCCCGCGGTTCCACCAAATTCCACAAAAAACGTCGAAGAAAGCCCCTTCCCTTTCATCCTTTCCCGCCAGGGAGGGGGGTCTCGGGGAAGTGCCAGGTCAGATAAGCTTCGGCCCTCGGGTTCGGCCCTGGCCCCATGCAGCTCTGGCCCTGGTCCTGGCCGGGCTCCGGCCCTGACCCCGGCCCCTGGCCCCAGCTCTGGCTCCGGTCCCGCTTCCAGCCCTGGCCCTGGAAGCCCGCGGATCCCGCGGCTCCACCAAATTCCAGAATGACGTGGATGGGGAGCCTCCTCCCTTTCATCCTTTCCCGCCGGGGAGGGGGGGGTCCAGGGAAAGTCCCCGGCTTCACATGGTCCAGGAATTCACATTGGCACCCGTCCGTTGTGGCTTGCCTGCACAAAAAGGTTGATCCGCCTCATCACATTGGACAGCTTGATCATATCAAGTCTCCAGACAGAAAGACTTATACCTCACATCTGTAAAATCAAATCACCAGATAGAAAGACCACAGTCCCCCAATCCAAAAGTAAAGACTGGTAGCTGGGTGAGAAGTCGGTAGAGCCGGGGCTATGCACGGGGGCCGTAGCTTTCCCGCGCATCGCCCCCGCCGCCGTCACGGTGGCCGACACCACTGGAGATACTCGACACACCCAGCCGTGAAATAAATCATCCAACCGAACAGTGTACGTGTACAGCCGACTCATGGAAAACAAGCGCAGTCGTCCGCATTGGATCGACTGGCCAGTCCCTGAGGCCCCGTAGGGCATTCCAGAGGAGTGGCGTCCAGTATATCGTAGATCGAGACAAGCTGGTGCATCAGAAGAAAGTACCCACCAGCGTCATCGAAGTCGCCGCTGAGGTCGGCAGCATCCACCACGCTAAGCATTGAGAAGGTGTCCTCCAGCATCCAGCCGAAGAAGAGGTAGGGGAGGTGGTCGGCGCACTCCACGGAAGGCAAGCACATACGTCTACACTGGATCATCTGGCCAGTCCCTGAGGCCCCGAAGGGCATTCCGTGGGAGTGGCTGCGGATATAGTACCTGGCGCATCTCGAAGTAAGTACCACCAGCACTGAGTTCCAGCAGAACCTCCACACACACACACACCACGCGCTGGCATCCCCCGCCAACCGCGGAAGGGGCGCCCAGGGGGTGGGAAAAGCAGAGCGGCGACTTGAACCAGGCAGTCCCTGGATGCTGAATAGTATTGTGAGGCCACCTTCCACTGCAGATGGCGGACGCGAGCTGATTCCAAGTTTTCTGGTTGGCTTGTCGTGGGCATTTCATGCAGGCGAGCTCCAGGTTCGGGTGCGTCGGTCT